CTTGGAGGTTCGAGCTGATACTTAAAGGAATCTATTAAAGATGACAATAAGATATTTTCTTCATTAGTCAAATGCAGCCACTGGATTTCACCATACTGTAACCTTGTCCGATTGGATTGACCATATTACTCTGGATAATTCACCACACTTTCTGGGTGCACACTTAAATGCAAGTACTAGCTGCTGCGTGCATCTATCCCTTCCTATACTGACTGTGATATTATGTGTGCTTCAGCATGTGCAACCACATAGTAATCTTCCTACCATTCTTATGAAAGTACAGGTAAGGGATGGAAAGCTGTACAAGTGAATCCAAGCCAGTATTTCTTAATATTTAATGCATGCTGTAATTTTATTCTGTTATTCAAGGTTTTACCCTAGCTTTCACCCAATGATTGGCCCAAAAGAAAGCTTTGGGGAAATGAAACATTCTTTATGAGCAAGAGAACTGAGTTTAGTATAGCCTGAAAAGGTATAGGTGGGGTTTTGTGAGGTTTAGAGAGGGATTTTTTTTTTTTTAAGAGATGGGGTGATTTATGGTGAAATTATGTAATTCTACTTCTACATAGTCTTAAAGAAATCAGATCAAATAGGTCAAACAACACTGTTAAATGCCTAACAATTATGTATATTACTTATTTCTATTACTAAAATCTTCAGATTTTGAAGTGTTAACTTAATATCTACAGTGCAACATCACAGTATGTGACTGTGATGCATGTTGATTCATCACGGAGAGGTACAGCACTATAATCACAAACTCTGCTATATTCAATGTAGATCAACTGTTTGACTCCCAGAAGAGTTATACCAATTCACAATGGTATTATTTACAGCAGAATTAGATTAAGTTAATTTTGTAATGTAAATGACTACAGAAAGCCGATGCAAATCCTAACTCCTGTGCATTAGGGATAAATTCACACCTGAATGCTAATTTGGATTGCATATTGGATAATTACAATTGTGTATTGCAAACTCCTTTGAACCCCTCTAGTGTAATGCCATAAGCCAGTGGTTCTCAAACTGATTAAGGGGAAAGTGGTAGTTCACAAGTCCATGGCAAGTAATCTATAAATTGTAGAATGGAGGAGTTAGGTGGCTAGCCAAAAAAAAGGAGATTTTGAAGACTTACAGCTCTGTACTAGAACTTCCTGGTGTAGTATTTTCCCCAGACTGTAGCTCTGCTATTGCACTGTTCACTCCCATATACATCATGGTTTCATCCAGTCTCTGGGGCCTGCAGCTAATTCTGATCAGAAAATTGTTTTACTTGTGCTGCAACTTATGAGCTTTTACGTGAGAACAATAAATTAGAGGGTTGAAGTGGCCTCAGGCACAGACTGTTTTTCCTGGATTGGAAACAAGTTTATAGGAACATAAAGGAAGAAGGGGAAAACCTGCTGTTTGTTTACTTACAACACCATTGGGAAGCTCCATTTCAGGGATTTCTATTTGGAAAGTACCTTTCAGATTCTGCAGAATTACTTCCTTGCTTTTCAGCAGGTAAGGGACTGGGGAGTAAGAGCTCTGTAATACCTTACTCAGCTCTATTTCTTAAAGAATTGTTAAATTAGGGCAGACAGATCTGACATGGTTACTCTCCTGCTCACTTCTCCAGGAGCTCTCGTTTAAAAGGGGCAATGTCTAAAGAGAGGCATATGTCTGAAATTTTTAGTTGCCAAGCTTTTTTCCTAGGTGTTAGCTCATATGTAAGTGAAGCTTGAAAGAAATTTGAAACTGTTAAAGATGCACTAATGCTGGCCCAGCATCTGAGTTGGCCAAGATCCATCAAGGAGACTAACACGGCCAAAATTTAAGGAAGACAGCTGAATGAATTTCAGCAATAAACAAGATGTTTTAAGGAAAACCTTGAGTAATGCACTTAGTTATATTCCATCCATAAAAATACAGAGGATATGCATGCTGAAATTTGCTTATAATCAATAGAGATTTAATTCAGAATACTTCAATTTTCAAACAGTTTCTTTTTAAGAGAAATATTGTGTTTGAATCTTTCAGGTCTTTACTCGGAAAATAGTGGAAGTGACCCCTAAAAATCAATCATCATTTTGTTTCAGTGGGGAGCAGATATTTGTTATATTTTTTGAATGAATGCAAAAGACTTATGGGAGTTATTAAAACTGTGAATTTAACCCAGTTATTCAAATCAAATGTGATCAAATTATTCAGCCTTAAATAGGAACTTTTTAAAATTTAATATTTGGAGCCCATGAGGAAATTGTAAGTGTACTGCACTGCATACTTCAGTCACACGAATGTTTTAAATAAAGTAGATATTGTAAAACAACTGAATATTAAATTCAATGCTAATTTCCTTAGGAGTATTAAAGCCATAAACAGGTTATGCATGGTATGCTAATAGATGAAGTACTTCTGGGAAATAAGACCTTTAACAAGCTTGGAGTATCCTGCGACAGTGGTAAGCGAAAGACGAGCTCATCAATTTCATTATTAATCCATTTCTAAGAACACAACTATGCTCATGTAAGACCTGACAAAACAGCAGGAGCATTAATTTTGCAAAGGGAAGTCCGTCTGCACTATGCAACACAGCAGGCAAAATTCAGACGCAACAGAGTAACTATCTGCTACATACAAATCAATTACTACCCATTGGTATACAATTCTTTCAACAGCAATACAGTATTAAAGGCAGATTAAAATATTCTGGAGTGGAAAAAAATATTAAACAGTGAATCTGAAGAAACTGTAAAAACAGCTGTTAAAACAAAAGCTGGTGGTAAATGTAGTGGAAGAAAGGGTATACATTCCCCACATCATGAATAAAGAAATGCTATGTTCCTCTCTGTATTACAACTCCTTTACTTTTCAGCGTGAAAGATCTATCCTTCTGTCAGCATAGAAAATCCAGTTAAATTCTGTGGTGACAGCAGGACCGTGAGATACCACACAGAGTATTTGCCCTATTTCCTCAGATTACATGGTTAGCAATTTGCTGGGAAGACAGAGATTTGTGAAATTAGTATTTTAAGTACATTTTTCATCTATGAATCTTGCTTACTCATTTCACATTTCACACAGGCTATGTGGGAGAAGGAATTCCAGGAAGCATGGAAAGGCTGCAGGGGATGCCCGGGGATTTTGCAGAGGGAGCATAGTAATTCATCATTTGGGCTGGGGAGTGAACAGCAATTACTCTACAGCAACAGCGTTTCTGAAGGAAAAATACTGTAAAAAAATACTTCAAGAGGAAGCTCACCCTTTGGCTTTTCTCATGGGAAGCAGATCCAAAAAGTGAGGGAAATTCCAAACTAACATGGCAGTATGATATGAAAATGCATCCTGGCACCTTTCTAACTGTTCCTCTCCACAAAGGCTGCAAACTGTCATAAAGACAGCTTTGTTGGCTCCCCAGTGGAGAAAAATCAATGAATATTGTAAGAGCAGTTTATTGAATGTATGTCAAGACTTCCTGGGTTTCCTTGAGTCAGAACATTTTATGGTATAATAGAAAGATATGATCAATGGCACTTCAACAAATCATAGCTATCGAAGTACCTGAAATCAAGGGAGAAACCACGCATAGTTAAAAATAGTAAAAGATCCTCACGTCAGTTTTGGACCAAACAAATCTCAGCCACATTACATAACTGAACAAAGGAACATTATTAACATTGGAAAAAATATTTTTAAGCAAATTTATATCCTAAAAATGACAGCTAGCCACAGTGAGATGCTCCTGAGAACTGAACCTCATCATCATCAGTGGATGATGAACTGGCCTAAAATGTTTCAATACAGCCAGTCTTATACATCAACACCCTGATTTCTTGAAGGGCCGTGCAAGCCACAGAATGTTCAATTTAAAAATAATTTGTAGGCATTAATATTCCAAAGAAAAATGCCCAGCTGTATCCTGAGGTGGTTGAGTCTAAGTCGGCGAACACAAAGAATTAACTAAATCTCAAAGCATTAGCATCTTTTAGCAGTGTGTGCCAGGAAAGATTTAAGACTTCGAAGTAAGGTAACATTGTCCCATGTGTCCTTGTCTTGCACCTCAACTGGGAATAAACAATTTACTGAAGTAACAGGAGGAGGTAGAACACTTGACTCTGCCTTTGAGGATCAGAGGTACCTCCCCACCTTTAGCTAACCTATTCATCACTGAATCACAAAATAGAAGTACAGAGTAATTTAGGTTAGAAGAGATCTCAGGAGGTCAGCTGTTCCCACACCCCACCCACAGCAGGGCCAACTTTAATGTTGGATCAGGTTGTTCAGGGCCTCAGCCAGTCGTTTCGAATGCCTTCTCAGCACATCCAAGGACATTTAAAAACACACAGCAATGCCAACACTTGAACTTCGCTAGTGTCTGTTCCTTGTTAGGATAGGGATGCAATGAATAAAATTAATTATTACTGGTTTTTTGTTGTTGTTGTAGGTTGAGGGTGTGCATGTGAGTTTTTTAAAAATTCTGGCATGAAAAATAAATATATCTCATTAGTTCAATCCCATTCCTGTTAAAAAGAAAAAATTTTTTCAAATTGCTTTTCTCTGGCTCGAGGTCACGCCACATTACTATGGCTTGTCAGCAGAGCTGACTTTAAACTATCTTATCCCATCATGTGGGCATACTCTTGAGAGCACTTTCGTCTGTATTCATTGCTTTTATATACCAGAAACTTTTATCCCACATTAATCTTTCTAGCCTTGATCAATAAAAAAAAAATCCATTAACAAACAAAAATTCTAATGAACACAGATGAGACCAACACAACTAACTTTCCTTACACACCTTTGCAGAATTGCACCATGTGGCACGACAGAAGATTTCAGCAAACAAAATGAGCCACATGATCTAATACTGTACATACTAAAATCAAGGGGGGACTAAGCAGACTGTACTGAGAACACTATCAATCAGCATTACATCATGTTCCAAGATTATACTTCTGTACAAGATGAAGTAATAGTTTCAATTATTGGAGTAGCATGATAAAGAATACATAACTTACCTATTCATTTCTTCAAGGCAGTCTGTTGCAAAGTAGAAGCTCTTTATTTTGGGGTGGCATGCTTTGAAGGCACTATAAAATAAACACAAAGAATAAAAAAAAAAAATACCTTTTCTTTCGATCAGTTTGTCTACAAACACACAAGACCGACCTGCTCTACAATTCTTCAGCATGTTACAGGTTTCATAGGCATTTTGAATCTTCAGTCTGAATCTGTTGCTGGGTAAACTTATAGATGGATTCCTACCGATCTGTTTGCGAGTCTAACTGGTACTTTGTAAAAATTTCAAAAGCCCTTAAATTACTTAGAAATGTCAATCCTTTCAAAAACCAGTGATGTTATACGTGTAAAAACTTCTTGGGTGAATTGGAAAAATCTTATTGACCATATTTAAGTACATATTAGTTGTATTCCAAAGATCTCTAAAGGAATAAGTTTGATCCCTCCACCTCTTCTCATATGTTTAGATGACTGTGGTTTGTCCTACTCAAAGAAATATAGAGGGCTGCCAACTTATGTGTTATAACTGTCTCATATCTTTATTGTAACTTTGATTCTGAAGATATACAGGAACTTATCCAAATTTTATTTGACGTTAATAAATGAGGAAGAGAAGGAATATAAAGATGAATAACTATCCTGTAATTGCATTAAACTGGAGATGGCATTTAAAATGCAACACTCTCAAATTCTCTTTGCTTAATCATAAGACTATAAGATCTCTAGAATAAACCTAAATACAGGAATGTTTACTAAATTTGATACAATATATTTTTAATCCCTAATTATAATCTTCATTCAATTTCAGTTTAACAGAAGCAATATGGAAAGTTCTAGGGAACAGAAGTGGCAGGTTTGCTTTGTTTGGAAGTAGATAATAATAAAGAAGTTCCTTGGATACTCTTACCTCTTTAAATAGTCACTTCTAATTCCAGCAAGTGCTTTGTCAAGTTACTTTAAACCCAACCACATCCCCAGTACTTTTCACTTCAATCTACTAATCTTTGCTGTATATTTCCTGCAATCAACATGAGTCATTAATAGTTAATGCTTCTTCATTGTCCACCTAGCAAATAACAGGGTTGCCAATATCTAAATTTAAACCTTATATTTATTGTTAAATTATAATTCATGGTCAATTCTGTGTATCTTGGTATTTTTCTTTATTGCACACTTCGTTCTCATAGATAGCTTTTGATTCAAGAAGTCCTAGTTATTTGGGTTCCCGCCCCTTTGGTGATTTTAAATTAATGCAAAATTTAATTTATAGAATGAAGTGCTTTGAAAAGTGCAAGTTAAATTAGAAATCACTGAAATAGTTCCAGAAGTATTTCACAACAAGTTTAACTTAATTTTAAAAGTCTACTGTTTTACTTGTGTAACTAGTACAATATTATAGCATACTATATTCTTGGCTGCACTGACCTGAGGTACTGAAGAGTAGCATGACAAAAGGCAGCTGTAAGAGTGTGATTGCTCTGTGCATTGCTAATATTCCTTCTCCTGCCTCAAACGTTGATTCCTTCACCAGCCGCTTGGCCAGTGCAATTCCATTCTAGCTGATTGATTCCATGAGACAGGGTCTGATTCTCACCTTAGGCTGGCTCTATACAGACATCACTACATTATTTTGTCATCTGTTCAGACTACATGCATGAGATAATAATCAAGCTCAAAATCTTACAGCATGGGTGGTTATAGTTCACATAAAAATGCTTTTTATTAATGCTTTTATGTGGTATAATCCCTAAGCTCTCCCCCAGCCGAGCAGTTATTTGAAAACTGCTAAGAACAATAATCATACTTCTTACAAGATTTTTGTGTGAATATAATTAAAAGAAGTATTGCTATCAAGGAAACCACAAACTCAGAGCATTAAAGCCTATTATTTTGATTAGTTGGCAAATGTTAAAAACCCCTACTATCATTCATAACATTTACGTTAAAAAACTGACATTTATATGGTAATTACCAGATGTAAGAATTAGATTAGGAATCATTACACGTGGCATTATGAAAAACCTGTGATGCAACGTTTCCACTATTAATAGCTTACATGCAAATGAGTGGTTTATTAATTACTATGATTTATTGCAGTTTCAGAGACAAAAATGAAAGCTGAAGAAGCTTCACTTGGGCACACTGATTTTCTCATATATATTATTAATACAAATGCGTACAGTAACCGCTTTCCTAACAGAAGTTCTACAGACGAATGAGATAACAGCAGAGTTGTATTTATGTGCAGTTTTCTTTTTCATGAAGTTAGAGCTATGTTAAGGGTAAGTTTACCTTTGCGCAGAGGGTTACCATAAAACATCGTAATTCCAGAAAAGAGACTTGAGAGGTATTTAAGCATTGTTCTGGCACCTGGACATTGATATTTCAACTGCTCCTCGTCTCTCTGGCTACTTGTATTTTGCACAAGAAAATAGTGAGTGCAGGAAAAATCCCGAATAGGGAGGAAACTTCTCTGATGCCCACTAGATGGCATTGGCTTGTTAATTATACCTGCCAGATGTTAAGCTTTTAATGCAAGAGATTTTGATCATTATATAAATATAGTTCTAAGTACATTCTGATCAAATTTATGATTTTTTTTTTACCCGATTTGTATGATTTCAGTGTCAAATATTCTTATCATTCTTAGTCTGCTACTTCTTCATGCGGAACTTTTTACCCCCTTATGCCAGCTGACTGCCAGCAACTCCAACTGCTCTAGCAAAACGGATGATATCTATCTGTGAATAAGAAAGGTGAAATAGTTTTGTGTATGTCTTTATGTGTTTTCCATTGGTCTGAACTCTGTGCAACATCTCCACCTTCTGCTGTTCCATTGGTCCAACTGTTTTCCAGTTCTGAGATTTAAAGCATTGGCTCAAATTGGAGAGGATTATGTGGTGGATCGAAAGATTCTAATCCTCTTGATTAATCCTGTTAGAATATCACATGATTGAGTTTCTGCTTGTAAATAGGATTATTTTCCTAGACAGAAAATTTACATACATAAAAGCATTAAAATGCCAATATTGGCGTTTCAAAGTCAACGTTTTAACAGTTAGAATATGTCAGAGTCAGTGCAATAAACAGAATTTAAATTTGGGTCCAGTATGCTCTTGTAATGTGATACAATCTATGATTACATATTTGAGTAGCACATTCTCACAGGAACTGTATCTCAATTACGTTACAGAGTGGACTTGCTAGAGGTGAATCAGGATTATGCAACAGTTAAGGCTACTTTCTGTAGGACTCAGTTGTTACAGAATTTGTGAATGTGTCATAAAACACAGAAAGTGCAAGAATTTTTTCAAGGGTAAATCAGTTAAATGCCGCAGGTCTTCCTGCTTATGCAAAGGAGTACTCCCACACTGCTAAGTCACAGCAAACAGACTTAACTGGTTACTACACAAACGATTCTTAGTATCTTTTTGCCTGATATTCTGACAATTTACTGAAATGGTGAGCACTTACAGCTGCAATAAGGTATTGTACTGTTATGTATTTACATACTCTGAAGAAAGCAGGCCTTTATTGTTATGAAATGGAGGTCCCAATTCTGTGGAAACTTTTGATTTAAAATGTTTTGCAATTCTGTTTCTGGGCTGCAAAATGTGACAATAAACCCATCTTCATCTCCCAGAAGTGTCACAAAGATTATTATTACAGAAGCATTTAAATACACTACCATTAAGAGCTGCAGAAAAGTCTCCAGGGAAATAATTCTATATGTACAGAGAAATGTGTAGAGAAATATCAATAATGCGGAAGAACGATACCTGTATTTTTACCTTTAGCTTGTTTTCGAGGCCCAAATCTGGATGCAGTAACCTAGCTGTGGTGTAATGAGTACCACGTAAAAGGGAATAATCACTCCCTTCATCTACTGGGCTTGCTGGTGGCTCAAGTTGGGTTTGCTGTCTACCATGACTCTCAAGTAGATTTCAGAAAAAGTAATAACAATTACTGAAACTGTAGCGACCTTTAAGATGTAACTTCATGTCTGTCAATGACATTTTATATAGAATTCTGACTGCATAGTTTCAATATGAAGTGTCAACAGCATGGCATATGCTCTCATAAATTTAAGACCTAAATTTGCATTAATTACACAATGAAAATTTTCACTAGGTGGAGATTTTTGAAAGTTCAGGCAAAGCACTGGAGTTAACAGTGATCAATTATACATGTAGTTCCATTAATCTTTAGTCTTGTGGATCAACGTCATCATGGGGCATTTTAACGACCACGTCTTTGAAAATGACATGATATTCACATCATGCCACACCACACAAAAACTTAAACAAGTAGTATTTCTAATACAGTATGATCTTTTTTAATCATGAAGATGCAGGTGTTGCCTAAAAGCAATGGAAAGTTTTTCAGTGTCAATGTGAGAAAACTCCTCTTGCAGGGACAAGGTCATTCTACATCCAAATATAGCCTGGAGAGCTAAACCACTCTGAGATAATGCCATGATTCGTATAATAATCAGGGTACCTTCATTAAATGCATTAGTGAGGCAAATCATCAAACCATACAGAATAATGCATTCAATTACTATATATTCTCGTGAAAGCTTTCTTCAGGCTACTTCATTCAATGTATACTATGGACATCACTAGCAGTCACTCTATGTAACAGCATTGCCCATCTGACAAAACACTGGAAAAGACAAATCTATTTGTTATTCTAGTAAGTCTTCGGTTCAGGAAGGTTTGAGCTTTGCACATTGATAAGTCTCAAAAGACTGGAAATTTGAGGAGAAATCCAAGCTGAGCCCCAAAATGTTCTTAGTTTTATTTTTGAAAAAGCTGAAAGAAAACTAACACTGTGATTTTAGCTGGATTTCTTTATCCACTAAAATACTAAGCATTCTTTTCAGGCAATTATTTAAAAACAAATGAACCTACCAAAAAGAGGAAGAAAAAAAAAAAAAAAAGAACGAACTAGGCTTCTTTCCCCTGACCTTATTAACTGTCAAAGTAACTACTTTACTAGCTTTTGTATTCATGTTAAAATGGACTCAATCATATAGAAGTAAAACCACAACCAGATTTATATTTTCATGTTTCAAGCTTGCAATGAATTTTAGGTTACATTCCAGCACCTACTAAAATCCCCTATTAAATGAAAAAGATATCCTAAAGTGGAAAGAAGCAAGAACTGATCCTGTAAAATCTGTCTTTCACTAGCTCTCTGCAAAGGAGGCAAGAAAATCCTAACTGAAATGTTTCCCTCTAGTCTAGCAGAGAGAATAATGAAATGTCGGTTAGAACTTTTCCAGAATATGCTGGGTCAAAGCGGGTCACATCACCATCATCTTAATTTTATTTGTAAAAGGAATGCAGAAGAATCAAAGCGCAGGGAGTTGTCCCTAGGCTCACCAGCACCAGGAGCTTTTCAGTGGAATCAGGCAATGGCAATCCTGCTCAGTCCTGTCCTCGGTAAGACATCACAGAAGAGGATCGGAAAGCGCTGTGGAAGTGAAGCCTAGAGAGGCTGTGGCTTAGAGCTGGCTGGGACACAAGCAGGGCCCTCCAGTCATCTGTGCTGGATGTACTGGCATGTAAGCAAGCCTAACACTGGGTTTACTTGCTCTGCAGTTTTCAGAGGAGCAGGTAAAATAGTGGCAAATGTAAGGTGTCATTTTTATGATAGGGAAAGTATATAAATGAGAGTGCACAGAGGAAGAAATCAAAGGGAAATTCAGCTCTGCGAACAAAGGGAATACTATTAACATCTTCATTATACTTTTACCCCTGGACCTACCACTTTTTGAAAGGATTCCAAGCCTGAAGGTACTCAGTTTTCAGTAGTGTGCAAAGTTTTAGTTAAGCAGACTTTTTCCTGTGCCTATACCCTACAGAAATTGTTCTCTAAGAAATATTCTGAGGAAATGTGTTCTAATGCTTAGAGCAAAGCTCTGGAAGCTATTTCTAGCTGTGCACAATGACCTTCTGTTTGATCTTGGTTAATTTACCAAAATTTGTTAAGTGTTTTATATTCTAACAAAAGGGTATTATTTTTCCTGTATTTTTGCTCAATATAATTATTAATATCTACTCATTCCTCAGAGGAATTTATAGCGCTCTGTTCACATTTAATTTCTATAGCGATACCTTCAGCTGAGAGGAGTAATAGAAGTATAAATTGTACCATCTTCTATTTCTCAGACAGTAATACCACCTTCAGACAAGAGCAAGCAATTGAAGAGGTTTGATTTTCTGATGAGCGGTCTCTATTGTAATTCATATCTTCAGTATTTTTATTGTACACGTGTACAACAGGACTTGTATTCCTCAGACCAGAACTGCATTTACTCATCGGAAAAGAACGACAAAAACTCAGGATGCTTAGGTGTAAGTAGGAAAGCTTTAGTAAGAGAATATCTCCACTACTATTCTATGTAGCTCCTCATGGCAGCAAGTTTTAAAAATCCAGATGCAGTGTACAGCAGACACATGCGAATAATTCAGGAGATACAGCAAAGTGCTAGTCACAAAGCATTAGAACTGTTCTGTTAAACCTGCTGTTTGACAGCTAGGCATTCCAACCCCAGCACTGCTTGCAAACAATTTCCAGTGAGAGTCTGTTATTAAACGTGCCTTAAGCATGACAAAGCTTAGCATATGCTTTTTACTGGGAGCGTAACGCACTAGTGGCAATATGCACATAAGCGATAATGGAATGTTCGTTTTGCATATGAAACCTAAATATTTTAGCAGATGAGAGTAACACAATATTGGGTAAGCAAGCTTCCGCCATAAAGGAGAAAACAGATTCTATTCACCATCCCTTGCTATGATGTTTTTTATAGCACTTCCTATGGGAATTGTTTCTTGCACACTTGATGCTTATCAAGATGACCATACTGAACCCAAGAAATTTCTATCTCTTGGCTAATGTGTTCATTGTTTTTTGCTTTACTAATTTAACTGTTGTAACTGGGCTATCTGGAAAGCTGACCAAAGAGTTATCCAATTCTTTGTAAGCCAGTTTATGGAATTTACATTAAGTTGTATCTTTCATAATAAAGAGAAACACTAAAACTTAAGTGGATCTATTATGTATTATGTACAGATTTCAGGGTTTTCTGTGTAACTTCTTTCTCTGGACTTAGTAAATTTTCTGCACTATATATAATATACTTCCAAGAACGATCCTTTAATTTATAAACGTAATTGACACATTACTTACTGTTTTCGTCTGCATTCAATTGCTCTATCTATCCTGAACTCAGGTAAACTAATGAATCCTTCTGCTTTTTCATCCTATCGAAAGAGAAGAAAAAGTGATCGTGAAGAAGAGTTAAAGAAGAGAGAAACGAGCAGTAGCCATTTGGGTCTTATACTAAGAACAGTCATCCAATCAATTGAAATACTGAACATATTTTCCCCATATGTTTTTATTTTAAAAATGTATTTACTTCATCATACAATGCCAGTACCTTTTATGAAGTAACTAAACTGACAGTTCCTTCAAGGAGCTGCAGTCATCCTAATTCCCCTTTGCTGAAGATTACAGAAAACCTTTCAGCACCAAATACAGCATCTAGAACATCGAGACATCAATAACTACAGAGAAGAATTCTGAGTTTCTTCATCAGATCATCTACACTTTAAAACTGTTTAGTGAATGCCTCCTTTTAAAGTCACGACTGTGCAGGCCATCTGCCTTCTAATAATAATTGTGGGGGTTCCTACAGCCAGCCGACCAGCCATTAAATGGAAAAGTAGTAACTAGAAAGTATCTCTTGTCACTTTTTGCTTCTTTTGCAGTAATTTACCAGGCAAAGCAAGGAGACATAGTAACACCAGGCAGATTTTTCAAAAGTATTAGCAAGTCTACTGTGAATTATGGATTGGCTGTAAACAACAGACTGAAAATCAGTGGGACACATAATGACTACCACGTTGCATGTAACAATGTCAAACAAAACGTACAACACAAAAACTGAAGGTCTTTATCATCCATAGCCTGAAACAACACCACTTTAAGCTGACAAGAATGTACTAAACTGAGGATAATTATGCTAGTAAAATGATCCTCCCGAGGAAAATGGAAAATATGGACTAAAATACCAGTAATCAAAGCAGGCTGTACACAGACAGTTTAGATCAGGCATTGAGACTCAATGTATACAAATGGAAGAACAGCAGTCTAATGATTTTTGGCTTCTCCCCACCATTATTTTTTCCTACATATATGCAGATCGCACAAGCATAGGCCCAATGGTTTTCAATAAAATTTTGCCAAGAACAGCGTTTTACACATGAGAAACTGCAAACTCCAGCCTAGTTCAGCAAAAAGCAAGAGGAACTTCTATATAACTTTCAGATAAAGAGATCTACAAATTCATATTTTCCCATCTGCTTTACATAATGCCTAACTACCATGAATGTTTACACTGTATACATCTCATGCAACTGAAACTAAGGAGAGCTGAGTGTGAACACTATGTTAGTCCAAAAAAACACTATCTGTAGAAAAGTATTATCTACTGATGCATTCATTTCTTTAAGAGTGTCATGAACATCTGCTATTTTATTCAGCTTGGACATCGACTTTGGAGACTTTAAAAAATAATTGCAATTGAAATATTTCAAGCTAGAGTGACCCAGACCTGGCAATTAATGTGGCAGTTCACTAACATATCCTACCAGGTAGTAAAAATAAGCTTTATTCAAAAGTAGTATAAAGCTTGAGGTTTATTTTTGGCTTTCTCCACACACAGAGTTTACTTACATTCTGGTTTGTATACCAGTACAAGGACGAATCCTTCAGAATAAACCAGTACTTTTTCCATTTCTGTGTGAAATAGCCTTTGGCATCCTTTTTCTTCCACAGCCAGCCTTCACAATCCCCATGCCCCAAGTCTTTGCAGGAAATCCGTCTTCTGCTCCCACTCGTTAGAGAACTCCCTGAGAACACAACAATAGTGTGAGACATCTCACCGAACGAAAGAGTGAAAGAACTTTTTCTCCTCGATATAAACACACTACTAATTTTTAATGATGAGTCAATTCAAAATCCTTCCAGCCAAATGCTCTCCAGTTTCAGGGAGAGGAGATTGAATGAACAATTTCCAAATTCAACAATGCTCTGCAATTTTGGTTTCAGCATGAATACAAAATTAAAAGGGCCTGTTTTATGTAATGGTTTATTTAATCTCTGGAGGGTTCATTCCTCTTAGGGCTGCATTTTTATTTGATTAAGATGAGCATCATCATTGCAAAGTAAAACTGTATTAATTTAGCCCTCAATCTGAAACTCAGAGTATGACATAATCTGTATGCAGATGTAAACACTATTTCTTCCGTATATCTTCTGTTACGAATTTTAGCAATAGAAGGCCTATCAAATTCTGGGAAATTTTTAACTCAATTTTTATAGTCAATATTTATAGTTGGTAAAAAAGAAAGATCATCAACTTCCACAAAAATGCTCATGATTACATTTCTTCTATTCTGAATTTAACTGAACAACAATATTTTAACTTTACTGCATCCTGTTTAAAGGCACAGCACCAGGAAAAGTTTTTTTGTTGTTATTATTTTAATACATCCTAATTGAAAGGCTTAAAGTTTTAGTGTGCCTTGTAAATATTGATAAGAACAGTTTTCTTCTTAATTATGGTATCATTTTTCCTGAAAAAGACTCTGTAGGAAATTGCCTTAATATATTAGACATTTTTCTATGAAAAAATCCAGTTTACATTGCTACAAGAATTATATTTATCCTACAGCTGTGAAACAGTGAAGAACTTTAGATAACATCAAAACACCATCCTTTGTTCTGCAACATTCCACAACCAAGGTCTTCACATTTTGCTCTTAGAATAACACACTGTGCTGTGTCCTGGTCAGATTTAGAAGTATTAAAAACGTATAGTACAGTAAAAGGAAAATTTTCATAGAAAGGAGACTAAACCAACACACAGAATAAAAAGAGCTCACTGGCTATATAATTTCATATGAATTTATTATGCTGTAATTATTTTTAATATGCTCATTTGTTTTAACAATCTCACATAGGCCATGAATAGATAAAGAAACAGAACAGAAGGAAATGGCAAAATATACAGATACTTCCTTTCTTCCACTTAAGTCAGAGCCAATTTTACCCCTGAGTCTAGGAATATTATACCTTATAACCCATTTATTTGGTATTTTAATTTGGTGTTTACTATCAAATTTAGAAATATTTGAATTAAGTTGAACTTAGGCATTTGATCCAAATCACTTATTATCAGAGAAGTTGTCTCATTTTCTAATTCCAAAATGTTAACTCAAATAAATTACCTTTTGACCATTTTCTGCTTTTTACCCTGAGGGAAGCGTAATGGAATGACTGTAAGGAAAAATAAATAAATTATGAAAAACCAATGCACGTAATAGTAGTAACGTGAAACAGCTGGCACTCACTACCATCTCCATGGTTATCTTAGGGTTAGTTATCATAGGATCAGTTATCACAGGATCTCATTTCTCTCATTTTTCTCTTACTACTGTTATAAACATTGTAAAGAAAACAACACAGTGCTAAATCTGCAAATTAAAATCCCATTTTTTTAGTTATTAATCACAATTGCAATTAAATCATTAAGGATTCTTTGCATGAATGGTTATGCAGCAGTTTGACAACTAAGGATATAAGCTCATAAATGACCTAATAAAATGAATAATACTTGAAGTTTGGTTTAAGTGTACATGAGATAGTTACACAAATATTCATTCAAAAAGAAATATCCACCACAAACATTATACAGTTAATGCATAAAGTCATGTGTTCAGTGACGTGTTGAAGTCATGTTGTTTCCAACCACAGGAAACAGTTAAGGTTGGTAGGTTGACAGAATAACTCTGAGGAGGAAAAAAATAAATTCTTTCTTTTGTGGCTGCATTATAAAATTGTTACAGATTCTTAAGAAAAAACCCACAAGCATCTCATTATTTAAATCTTTTAAAACCAGGGATACTGCTCAAAAGATGGTAAGGATTTCCCTCAAACATGTAAATGCTAGGGCAAAAATTACAGGTCAACATAACGAAGTAGCTGCCTGATTGGTAACTGCTGCTGCTGTTACCAGTAGAAAAAACAGCAGACACTCACAGCATGATAAAGCAGCAGATGCAGGCAAAGGGCAGCATAGAAAGGGCCATCTTTTTAATTTCCTTGATTTTTTCTCTGTGACAGGGAACCCTTAGCTCAGTGGAGGGCCTAGAAGCCAGGTGCCTCAGTCAGTGGCCCAGATATCTCCGTGCTCCCTTACCCAGTGGTATGACTACGGCTAATTGCCTTCTCCCAGAGATGATCTGACTGCTTACCCTACCTTACCACAGCTCCTCTCCATGCAGTCAAAAAGCAAACACATGCTACAAAAGTCCTTATTAACAACTGTGGTACAACATATTAAATAAGCATTTAAATGTCACAATATTACGATTTTAGATAACTGAGGATTATAATTAAAATAAAAAATATTTAAATTAATATTTAGGATAATGAAGGAGTACAGCTTAAGCACTATAGAAAAGCAACAGCTGAAAACAGGACTCCCACTATTGGAAAGGCAAGGATTTATTTTAAATAAAAGTGGGGGAGGAGGGAGCTGTTTTGCACATGCACAGACCTATTTGTAACCCTTCTGCTGTTTAGCCAGTTTACAGCATCGAACAGCACAAACATTTTCTAGTGACTTGCAGAAATCAGCAGTTCTTGACTCCTGAGAGAGCTGGCTCAGAGAACACCAGTTTTATGTTCTCTTTATCTCAGACTCTTCTCCCAGTCAGTCACAGTATAGGAATGCTTTGCAAAAATATTGTAATTCTGACAGGTGACAAGCTCTGTAAGTGTATATGCATTGTATCACTGTAAGACAGTACGTATTCTCCATTTACTTGATAGCTGCAAATTTATCTCCTTGTTTTGAGCACTAGAGAAGACAAAGATTAATGTTTGCTCCTGTGCTATAGGAAACGTAGTAAAAACAGTCAGAAAATGAAAAAACAAAAGTAAGTTTGTGAGAAAGTATTAAAGATGCACAGCAACACTGTGTTGTTTTTTTTTTTTAAATTGATGTATTGCAAGCCACAGCAGCAGTACTGGTGCCAACTGGAGTTCTGTGGTGACTGTGACTGAAACAGTCTGTTCAATGTTCCTCTTTCTCTATAAAAAATGCCTTAGGACAGAGCAAGTATCTGTTTCTGAAAAAGAAATTACCAATTTTGTCCACAATTTAGGCAAAAATTATAGTGATGGAATAAACCCCAATAATTAAACTACAGTTTTCATATGTGATTAAAGAACTGCAGAAAAATGGAACAAGTGGAGGATATAGTCATTAGGATACTCACCAGAAACTGGTACGCATCATTCAACATAAAAGTTTTAAAAATAATGAGAATACAAGAACAACAAATCGAGAGCTGAAAATATTAGCTCTTTTAAAACCAAAAGTTAATTAGTCTTACTATGTTTTGTTTATGCACACATACAATGTATTCAAAGCAAAAAAACTAGAGAAGGTGAAAAGTTTGCAATACCTTGGGGATCAGTACTTAATTAGCACTGCTAACTTACAAAATTCAAGCTTCATATTCTGAGAGATAAAGGAACTACTATATAATTAACTTTGTGGTAAACACTAAGAGAAGAGTCAGAACTCACAACTTCAAAATGACTCAGAGTTGCTATGGAAAACAGATAGATGATGTGAGAACACGCTGTGGTCGTCAGCATTTAAGTTCTGATCTCAAAACCACAAAATAGGATGTCAAACAAAATGTACGCCCTCACACCACAGGCCAACAAGAACAACACCGGGGAGGGAAGAAAAAAAAAAAAAAAAAAAGAAGTGATAGAATTGAATCTGTGCTACCTGAAGCTAAATTAATGAGACCTCAAAGTAATCACAGTGTAGTAGTAGAAATTCTGTCACAGAATCAGTAAATGAAGAGTTATGCTATGTTTAAAAAAATGCCCTGGAGGCTAGCCATTCGGTTACCTGTCAGGATGAAGGGAACCAAACCTGGCTGCATGTACCTCTGCTGTTGTGAGCCTTAGGAGTTTTTAATGAAAACCGTTAATAAGTTCCAAATATAGCCATGACAGCATTCACTAGCAAAGTACAGAAGTCACAGGGCACGTAGTGTGGATTTCCTCAGATTATGTCCTTTAGATTATTCATAGTACCAGGATTCTGGGGAACGGCCACAGGTCCAAGTGTTTTCCAGTGGAGGCAGCAGGTGAGGTAGGGTATCAGTAAACACAACTGCAGGTTTTTGCAAGCAGCAGAAAATTTAGTCATACATCTTCAGCTATTGTCACTGGTCTTTAGCCTCACTTTGTAAATATTTCAGAGGCAGAATGACATCTGACAACTTTTTTAGCACCTACTTAGTGAGAAAAGTGCTAAGTCAGAATGAAGAAGTAGAAATTCTATAAATGAAGGTTCTGTTGTTTGTATTTTGTATGAAAAATTTGCAAAATACTAAATAGTAAAATAATGTCTATTTTTCTTTGAAGACTTTCAAAATTGGTACCACAAAAATCTTTGAAAATCTGAATCCCATATCTCCCTATCATAGTATTCATACTATTTCAGTATTTTAGGAGGTTTTAAAATTTTCTTTTCCTTCAGGGCAACCTTCCATCCAGAGGTCCCTTTCAACCTAGACATGGTCTATGATTCTCCTCCCCAATCTAGTGCATACCTTTGAACACGTACTGAGGGTCCTACTAAAATTAACTAGAAGTACCGCATACACACAGACCTGCTGTGGTTGCAGTAGCTACTTTTCTGAGTATGGAAATTATTCCTAGCTTTGTATTTTCAGATGTTTGATAATATAGACAAATATCAAAGTTTGTGATATCTTATGTATCTTTGAAAAATATGACAATGAATTGAACTGTTGGGGAATTTTTGGGTTTTTTCAGTACATTTATAAATTATTACCTTCCTCATGGATGTGCTTCCTTGACGGTCAATGGCAGAACTTGCATATCTAGGACAGAGAGAAAGATGTCAAATGACTAAAGAAAAAACAATATCTGAATAAGTAGTGCATATGCACACAGACTCTATGCATTTCCAAATGTATGCTTACAGATATAATCATTTTTCAAAGTTATTTAAAATGTAGCACTTAAAACAAGAGGCCCTTTAGAAATTTAGCCATTGTTTTCAATGAACAGTGCTAATGTTATGAAGTAACACAAACCTATTCTTAATATTCTGACTTAAAAAGATATAAATAATCTAAGAATATCTGGTTCTGATTCAATCACTGGCCTGAAAATACTCTATCTTGATCAGCTAAGATTCAAAAGCAACCCATACAATTCCCCTCTCTTAGGACACGTAAGTCATTGGTTCTTTGTTGCAGGGTGAACTCTCATTTGTGCATTTTTTTCAGCATCAACAGCATTTAACAGATGTAGTGGACTCCTAGTATCCAGACTAAAATGGGAAGGAATAAGTATTTTTAAAGAGGAAAAAGGTAGAAATACAAAGAAATAATTTAGTAATTTTGTTTTAAGAGTAATTTGCATTTTAAAATGTAACAGCTTACTGATATGTATTTGAACTGATAACTTTTAGGAAAGACTCACAGATGTTCCATATTTTGCAAAGTTGTTTCCTTCCCATATTATCACAGAATCAATCAAGGATAACCCAAATTGCTTAGTCGGTGTCTTCGAGTTACTTTTTGGGTATCTTCAGCAATATGTAAGCACGCGTATAGACACGCAGACATCAGTAAGTATGTAACTATTGGACCAAATTAGACATGACCATCAAATGTGTTTGCCAGGTACAGAGAAAGTCTAATA